TAAGCCAGTGAGCAAAGGTATGTCTTCAGCTGTTTGTTTGAAAGTGGAGAGGGAGGGGGCCATACTGGGTACATAACTTTGGTGACACCGAAGATGCCAGATTGGAATGTGAGATTCGGAGCATCGCCTCACGCCCTGTTCTTTCTCCCTTGTGCAAGATCTCACTGTTGTTTACCTGTCTGGTAACCTCACCTGCGTGTATGTACGAGGGAGGGCGACTAATGTATTCATCTGCGGCACATTCCGTTGGGAAGTTTCTTTGGATGCCGGTGAAACCAGGCTCAACGGTATCAGCTGGCCACAGTTCTTGTGAGGACTAATAGGGCAAATGAATTATGCAGGTGTTGTAAAAGTTTCTTTTGGGAGGACAATGAGCAGAAACCTGTTGAGCCAGACAATCACTAGTTTCAATGCTGCTCTGGTGGTTTCCCATTCTGTATTAGACTCATAGAATCATAGAATCAAAGAGTTGGAAGAGACCTCATGGGCCATCCAGTCCAACCCCATTCTGCTAAGAAGCAGGAATATTGCATTCAAAGCACCCCTGACAGATGGCCATCCAGCCTCTGTTTAAAAGCCTCCAAAGAAGGAGCCTACATCACACTATGGGGCAGAGAGTTCCACTGCTGAACAGGTCTCACAGTCAGGAAGTTCTTCCTCATGTTCAGATGGAATCTCCTCTCTTGTAGTTTGAAGCCATTGTTCCACTATTGTGCCCTGTTGCTCTGCAATAGGTGGTTGCAGAAACAGTTGTGCTGTTCTCTGAAGATATTATTATTATTATTATTATTATTATTATTATTATTATTGATGCAAAAGCACAGTATGTCACAGCAAATGAGATCTATATCCTGGATTTTGTATCACAAAATCACACGTCGAACACTTCCCAAGTGTTGTGGCTCAGTCTGAGCCTGAGCTTTCTGAGTCTGAGTTTTCTCAGGACGAGGAGCATGATGGGTTACAGATTTCTGAACATGTCCCTGTTGCTGATGCAGTGTGGATACTGAAGACGAGACGGTGTCTCTGTTTCCCAGAGAAAGGAAAGTTGTTTTAGAAGATGGTCATGATTTGAGTGAAACTTCACAGCTGCAGGTGGAGGAGTTGTCCTCTCCATCTGTGAGCTCAGTGCCTGTCGATTCCCAGGCTGGCCAGTCCCAAGATAATGAGTTATTCGGTGTTGAAGGCGATGGTGATTTGGTTAGGGAGGGTACGGCTTGCTAACAAATGGGAAGTTCAAGGTCAACGTAATGCTTTCATGCTAGGAAAACATATTTAACGATCTGATTGCAGTCAATCCTTTGTCAGTGCAACTTTGCTTACACCCTGTTAACTTCTCTGGAATTGCCTCTGCTTTTGGGAAAGCTTTTGACTCTTTGGGACTTTGATTTTGATCCTGGTTTCTTGAATTGTGGTTCCCAGAATTGGACACAATATTCCAGGTGTGGTCTAACCAAAGCGGACTAGAGCATGGGGAGCATGACTTCCCTAGATCTAGACACGATGCTCCTCTTGATGCAGGCCAAAATCCCATTGGGTTTTTTTGCTGCCACATCACATTGTTGGCTCATGTTTAACTTCTTGTATAATTATAAATATTATATGTATATACAATATATTATATTATATTATTAACACTGAAAGCAATGGAAGCACATCTCCGTCATGTCAAAGCAGAAGAAAGATCCTCCTTCCACCCCAAATGCCACTGGTTTAACAGTATCTGCTGGACTTAAGCAGTATTTGCTGGACTTAAGGTTGGTTTTGGGTCTTGTTTCATGCCTGGGATGGTGAAATCACTTCAGGTTTCTCCCTGTACTTTCAAGGAGCTGTCCAAGGTGCTGGAACCAGTTAAGGGATAGCATCCAGCAGATGAGATATTTACTAGAAAATTCAGACTAAAACCCAGAATGGAGACCTCTAACCGCAATGGCCTTGGCCCCGTTCTATGGTCAATCAGAGGAGCTACAGAAGTCCACTTTAAAGATAAATGCTGAGATCCTTGGGTTGAGTACACACTTTCAGCCTCAGAGGAAAGCAATGGCCAACACCCCTTATGAGAAATCTGGCATCAAATCTATAATGGGGATGCATATTATAGAATGATTGATGATGTCAAGAAACCATCTAGGGCAGCGTTCCTCAACCTTGGAGTCAGGACCCCCAGGGGGAGGGTCATGAGGGAGGAGTCATCAAAGACCATCAGACAACACATTTTTTGATGGTCTTAGGAACTCATTTGGCAGAGAAGGCTGAAAATCTCTTCTCCTGTCTCTCTCTTCCTTTCTGGAAAAGGACAACAATTCTTCTCACCACATGCCCTCCTCCTCCTGCGATTGTAGGTGAACTATAAATCCCAGCAACTACAACTTCCAAATGTCAAAGTCTATTTTCCCCAAACTCCACCAGTGTTCACATTTGGGCATATTGAGTATTTGTCAAGTTTGGTCCAGATCCATCAGTTTGAGTCCACAGTGCTCTCTGGATGTAGGTGAACTACAACTCCAGAATTCAAGGTCAATGCCCACCAAACCCTTCCAGTATTTTCTGTTGGTCATGGGATTTCTGTGTGCCAAGTTTGGTTCAATCTCATCATTGGTGGAGTTCAGAATACTCTTTGATTGTAGATTAACTATAAATCCCAGCAACTACAACTCCTAAATATCAAAGTCTATTGTCCCCAAAGTCCACCAGTGTTCACATTTGGGCACATTGAGTATTCATTCCAAGTTTGGTCCAGATCCATCACTGTTTGTGTCCACAGTGCTCTCTGGATGTAGGTGAACTACAACTCCAAAATTCAAGGTCAATGCCCACCAAACCCTTCCAGTATTTTATGTTGATCATAGGATGTCTGTGTGCCAAGTTTGGTTCAATTCCATCGATGGTGGAGTTCAGAATCCTCTTTGATTATAGGTGAACTATATATCCCAGCAACTACAACTTTCAAATGACAACATCAATCCCCCCTTTCCCAACCTCACCAGTATTCAAATTTGGGTGTATTGGGTATGTCTGCCAAGTTTGGTCCAGTGAAGAAAATACATCCTGCAGATCAGATATTTACATTATGATTCATGGATCCCCCAGTTGCACAATGTGTTAAACCCTTGTGCTGGCAGGACTGAAGACCAACAGGTTGGAGGTTCGAATCCAGGGAGAGCGCTGATGAGCTCCCTTTGTCAGCTCCAGCTCCCCTTGTGGGGATATGAGAGAAGCCTCCCACAAGGATGGTAAAAGATCAAAACATCTGGGTGTGTCCTGGGAAACATCAGCTTGGACTACTGTAATGCACCAGATTGGACTACTGCAATGCACTCTATGTGGGGCTGCCTTCGAAAACGGCCTGGAAATGTCAGTTGGTTTAACGGGTGGCGGCTAGGTTGTTAACTGGTGCTCCTTACAGGGAGAGGTCAACCCTCCTGTTTAAGGAGCTCCATTGGTTGCCGTTTATTTTCCGGGCCCAATTCAAGGTGCAGGTACTTACCTACAAAGCCCTAAACGGTTTGGGACCCGCCTACCTGCGTGACCGCATTTCTGTATACAAACCCACACGATCTCTTCGATCATCTGGAGAGGCCCTGCTCGCGATCCCACCTGTGTCGCAAGCGCGATTGGTGGGGACGAGGGACAGGGCCTTCTCGGTGGTGGCCCCTCGACTCTGGAACTCCCTCCCCAAGGACATCAGGCATGCCCCATTGCTAGCAGTCTTTAGAAGGAGCTTGAAAACGTGGATGTTCCAGTGTGCCTTCCCAGAATAAGGAATCCCAAGCAATATGTCCCAAATGCACTTTACGAGAGATTTAGGATTGTCTGCACGCCCACCTATCCCTAAAATATCTATCCTATTTCACTTGGACATGCCCAGCATTTTTAAAATTTTAACCATTACATTTGGCCCTGCCTCAGGTTTTTAATGCGTTGTGATATTATTGTTATTTTTTTTTGCTTTGTTTTTGAGTTTATTTATTGTTGTATTGTTGTCGTTGTTGTTTTATTGATGTATTTGGGCTTGGCCTCTTGTACGCCACACCGAGTCCTGTGGGAGATGGTAGCGGGGTATAAATAAAGGTTTATTATTATTATTATTATCCTTGCAGATGGCCAATTCTCTCACACCAGAAGCAATTTGCAATTTGACATGGAAAAAATACAATTCATAACAGTAGCAAAATTACAGTTATGAAGTAGCAACAAAAATAATGTTATGGTTGGGGGTCACCACAACATGAGGAACTATATTAAGGGGTCGCAGCATTGGGAAGATTGAGAAATACTGATCTAGGAGATCTCTGAGATTGTTTTTATGTGAAGCACTGATACGAATTAATACAAAGCATGAATTTGACTCTAACGCAGTGGTTCTCAATCTGTGGGTCCCCAGGTGTTTTGGCTCACAACTCCCTGAAATCCCAGGAAGTTTACCAACTGTTAGGATTTCTGGGAGTTGAAGGCCATCTGGGCACCCACAAAGTTGAGAACCACTGAGTTACAGTCATATTCATGCTTTGTATTAATTCATATCAGTGTGGGATATTGTGTTTTCAAGCAACGTTTAGTCGTTTCCGTTCCGCTTGAACTAAAGGGGTAAGCGCACTAATGTTGTCAAGTGATGGGCAATATGTTCGTCCTCATTAAAATGGATTTGGCGTTCCACAGGCGCCAATAAAGCCAGTTGTTATTCCGCAGCGTTCGTCGCAGGTGGAATAATACTCTCTGGTTAAAACCAGCTCCAAAGGCCGTTTTGCGCGAGACAGCGAGCAGAACCCTTCGGGGGAGAGAGAACTCATTCAGAGTCATGCCTGTGACTTTTCCAACAGAGGTATAATTAAGAAGGGGGGATTTAATAGCTGCTCTTTCTGGTTGCTTTCCTCCATGACCTTCTGAAATGCATATGTTTTGCCGAACCCAACCTGGGGCGTTTTCCTTTTGCAAAGCACCTAACGCAGGTCAGCCAGTTCTCGAGACTCCCTCCGAAAAAAAAGAACCAGGCACTAATGTTATTTGGAAAGCAATGAAGGCGCTTTATTTGGACAAAAAAAAAGTCTTTCAAATAACACAGGTTTCCCAAAATACATTTCAAATAATGTGGAATTCCTAAACATATTTCCCCCAAGGAATTATAGTCTGTACAAAAGCTATTCATAACCAACTTGGCTGGTTTGGAAACCAAGACCAAAAACTCAAAATACAATAAAATACAAGATACCCAAACCCCAATTTGTTCTCTGTTCCTTCCATTCTGAAACCAGACTTCTTTGGAGAGAGCAGAAGAAATATTGCAAGGGCAATATTTGGAAACCCCAAAGAAATGCCCTGCCGGCAGGGGTTAATACATACTGAAAGCTAAAGTTGGGATTCTGGAGGCCGGCTTTAGAGATGTTGTTACAGAAGAAAGAGGGAAACATGGCACATTGAATCATAGAGTCAGAAGGGACCACAAAGGCCACCTAGTCCAACCTTGCAGTGATACATTCAATGGAGATGCAATGCTCTGTTTACATCCACAGCTGGAAATTTTGGAAGAGTCTCTCCTCCTTGCATTGTAGGACATTGCTGCGATGGCCTTCGTTAGCTCTGAAGTCCAATGTCCTCCAAAGCGTTGACCAATTTCCTACTCAATCTTCAGAGGTTTCCCAAAACTTGAGGTGATGCCAGAAGAAAATCTGGAAGCTTCCTTTTCCGGAATTCCATGGCTTGTTGAGGAACATCAGCAGTTGGTTTTGAAGTTGGAGAAGTGGAGTTTTGGAAGTGCATGGGATTTTGGAAGAGTCTCTCCTCTTTGCATTTTGGCTTGTAGGGCATTGCCGCGATGGCCTCTGTTAGCTCTGAAGTCCAATGTCCTCCAAAGCATTGACTGGTTTCCTACTCAATCTTCAGAGGTCCCCCAAAACTTGAGGTGAGGCCAGAAGAAAATTTGGAAGCTTCCTTTTCCGGAATTCCATGGCTTGTTGAGGAACATCAGCAGTTGGTTTGAAGCTGGAGAAACTGAGTTTTGGAAGTGCATGGGATTTTGGAAGAGTCTCTCCTCCTTGCATTTTGGATTGTAGGACATTGCTGTGATGGCCTCCGTTTGCTCTGAAGTCCAGTGTCCTCCAAAGCATTGACTAATTTCCTACTCAATCTTCAGAGGTTCTCCAAAACTTGAGGTGATGCCAAAAGAAAAATTTGGAAGCTTCCTTTTCCAGAATTTCTTGGCTTGTTGAAGAACATCAGCAGTTGGTTTGAAGTTGGAGAAGCTGAGTTTTGGAAGTGCATGAGATGTGCATTGGGTTGCGGATTTGCCTTGTTGTGATGCCCCACAAGGATTGCGTGCCCCAATTCAATGCAAAGGCTTCACATTTGGGGACGTAGCCTCATTCTTGGCCCTTCCTCTCAACTTTGGATTGAGAACCATCCCTATTGCTAAGTGGATTTTGGAGAATTGTCTGAGTATTTTAGCATGAGCATATAGCTTATTATGCGATGTTATGCATTCCCACCTTCAAGTCATAGTTCCTTGAGATGTGGCCTACAGCTTTTCACTGTATTGTCTCTCATGTCAACAGAAGTGGTCTCGATAAGAATGAAGCTGTGGGAAGTGCAATCACAAAACATGGATACTTGTTGGAGTAAGGAAGAAAGAGAGACATGGGGGGTTAAGCTTCCACCCTTCACCTTTTGGTGGGACGTGATGGTGGAAGCACACACCAAACCATATATATAAGGCCTTTCTTTTGAGGAGGTCCTTCTTAGGCGAGGAGCTTGTAGCCCAAAGAGATGGAGAAGACCTGCAAGAGGGCCAGGAGGAAGGAGCAAGTTTGGGCTCCTGAAGCCCCACTGTAAGGAGGGCTTGGGGTCAACTGGTGTGAAGAAGCCATGTTGTGGTGGACCACTGTTGTGTTGTGGAGCAGGTGGCGGTCAGTTGTGTCGCTGAACGTTGAATGATGGGAACCAGAGGTCGGTTGAGAAGAGGAGGATGGTGTTACAGCCATCGTTGTTCTACCTGGTGGGGGAAGAAGAGAAACAAACATGGATGAGTCACCACTGTTTGATGTTTAAGACCTGCACTGTGTCTACACTACGTGGTCACATCAGTTTCATGCCACATGAGTAGTCATCATTCCAACTGAAGAAATGTTGGGGTTTGCAGTTTGGTGAGGGTACACTCAACCAACAGTAAGTCAACCCATTGGTAAATCCAATTGGCTCAATGGGTCTACTCTAAGTGTGACTAACAATACGATTCAGGGCGTATTTTTAAAGAATTCTCCATGGTCCAAAAAAGCAACCTTTCTATGCCTTGTTGTTGTGCATTCGCTTCCCCAAAGGCCTCAAAAGGCTTTCATGGCTGGAACCACTGGGTTGTTGTGAGTTTTCCGGACTGTATGGCCATGTTCCAGAAGTATTATCTCCTGACATTTTGTCCACATCTATGGCAAGCATCTTCAGAGGTTGTGAGGTCTGTTGGAAACATGGCAAGTGGGGTTTATGTATCTGTGAAGTAATATCCAGGGTGGGAGAAAGAACTCTTGTCTGTTGGAGGCAAGTGTGAATGTTGCAATTGGCCACCTTGATTAGCTTTTAATGGTCTTGTAACTTCTAACAACCAGCATGTCAGACTACACAATGTTTGGATTGAGTTGGATAATGTTTTTAAACTTGGTGAACTTTCATTTATATGTATTTTATAACTTATTTATTATGCATGTTGTTTTAAAAATGTTATTTATTGTGTAGCATTGCATTTTTGCTGTTGTTAGCCATTCTGAGTCCCTCCATGAAGGTAGAAAAGAATGGGATATAAGAGTTCTAAATAAATAAATACACAGAAAAGCCATTGAAATCCATTTCTGTTGGACAATTTCAACAGAAATGAGAAAACAACAGAAATGAACAAATTCTGGCAACCAGTATTACAAAAAATCCCTCTAAAATCAGGAACACTAAAAAAAAACAGGGGAATTCCAGACAGGAAACAATCAGGTCAGCTAATACCTCCCAACAAAGGATTCCCCCAGGCAGGAAGCAGCCAGGCTTTGAAGCTGCAAAGCCATTCAATGCTAATCAAGGTGGCAATTGCAACATTCACACCTGCCTCAAGCAGACAAGAGTTATTTCTCCCACCCTGGAAATTCCACAGATATATAAACCTCACTTACTTAGTTTCTAACAGACCTCACAACCTCTAAGGATTTCTTTTTTTTTGTCGTGCAGGAGCGACCTGAGAAACTGCAAGTCGCTTCTGGTATGAGAGAATTGGCCGTCTGCAAGGATGTTGCCCAGGGGACGCCAGATGATTTGATGTTTTATCATCCTTGTGGGAGGCTTCTCTCATGTCCCCGCATGAGGAGCTGGAGCTAATAAAGGGAGCTCATCCGCCTCTCCCCGGATTTGAACCTGCGACCTGTCGGTCTTCAATCCTGCCGGCACAGGGGTTTAACCCTGATAAGGATGCCTGCCATAGATGTGGGCAAAACATCAGGAGAGAATGCTTCTGGAACATGGCCAGACAGCATGGAAAAGTCACAGCAATGCAGTGTGAATGTTTGCAAATGCCAAATTACCTTCCTGCAGGCTTCTGGTCTGCATCAGCGTTGTGCCATTGGCAAAGGAGACGAAAGCCCTGCGGTTGCAAAACAGAGAGGAAAAGTCATTGTGAGCGAAGTGGAGGAAAGCACCCTGCATCATTTATGTTACACAACAAATTGGTGTTTTGGCGAAAACGTATTCTTTGTGACTGTCGCAAAACAAGGAGACAAAGGTCCGGGCTTCCAAGAAAGCCAACAATTCAAATGAATGGGACGAAGCACAATTTGGTTGCGGTTGGCACCTTTGGATAAGAGTGTATCTACACTGTGGGACTGATGTGGTTTGGCAGCACTTTAACTGCCAAGGCACAATGCTATGGATTCCTTGGAGTTGTCAGTTTATAAAGTCTTCTGCCACCTTTACTACAACTCCCAAGATTCCATGGCAGCTCAAGTTGTGTCAAAACCCCTTTGGACGCAGGTATGTTCCTCTCTAGATCTCCCATTTTCATCTCTATTAATAAAAATGTAATGTTCGTTTATGGGATTAACAGAACTCAAAAACCACTGGACGAATTGACACCAAATTTGGACACAAGACACCTAACAACCCAATGTATGTCCTTCACTCAAAAAAATTGATTTTGTCATTTGGGAGTTGTAGTTGCTGGGATTTATAGTTCACCTACAATCAAAGAACATTCTGAACCCCATCAACGATGGAATTGAACCAAACTTGGCACACAGCTCTCCCATGACCAACAGAAAATACTGGAAGGGTTTGGTGGGCAGTGTCCTTTGGTTTTGGAGTTGTAGTTCACCTACATCCAGAGATCACTGTGGACTCAAACAATTGTGTGAGGAGCGACCTGAGAAACTGCAAGTCGCTTCTGGTGTGAGAGAATTGGCCGTCTGCAAGGACGTTGCCCAGGGGACGCCTGGATGATTTGATGTTTTATCATCCTTGTGGGAGGCTTCTCTCATGTTCCCACGTGAGGAGCTGGAACTGACAGAGGGAGCTCATCCGCCTCTCCCCGGATTCGAACCTACGACCTGTCGGTCTTCAGTCCTGCTGGCACAGGGGTTCAACCCACTGTGCCACTGGGGGCTCCTCAAACAATGATGGATCTGGACCAAACTCTACAAGAATACTCAATATGTCCAAATATGAACACTGGTGGAGTTTGGGGAAAATAGAATCTTGACATTTGGGAATTGTAGTTGCTGGGATTTATAGTTTACCTACAATCATAGAGCATTCTGAATCCAACCAACAATAGAATTGGGCGAAACCTCCCACACAGAACCCCCATGTGGGCCACAGCAACGTGTGGCAGGGGACGGCTAGTGTTATGATATAAGTGCAGGCCAGCTGTTGCGGTCATCCAGTCCAACCCCCTGCCAAGAAGCAGGAAAATTGCATTCAAAGAACCCCTGACAGATGGCCATCCAGCCTCTGTTTAAAAGCCTCCAAAGAAGGAGCCTCCACCACACTAGGGCAGAGAGTTCCACTGCTGAACAGCTCTCACAGTCAGGAAGTTCTTCCCAATGTTCAGGTGGAATCTCCTTTCTTGTAGTTTGAAGCCATTGCTCCATAGTGTCCTAGTCTCCAGGGCAGCAGAAAGGAAGCTTCTCTCTCCTCCCTATGACTTCCCTCATATATTTATCCATGGCCCTCATCACGTCTCCTCTGAGCCTTCTCTTCTTCAGGCTAAACATGCCCAGATCTTTAGAGAAGGCTGAGAGGAGACATGATGGCCAGGTATAAATATGTGAGGGAAAGCCCTCTCAGTTATCTTCGGATCTCAGATAATTACCTCTTCTTGCTTCTTGCTCCCTCCGCCCTTTGGTTAACTTATTGGATCATACTGGTAGGTTGCAATGGAATCTAGTCCCACTACTTTGGTGATGCAGGAGATATAGAATTTGAACATCTCCAGCTCAAGATAGGACTTATATTTTTCTGTACGTGCCACTATCCACACGTGCAATTACACCACTTTGATACCTCTTTAACCCCTTATAACTCCATCCTCTGGCTTGATGGGATGTGGAGTCGTTCCAGATGGAATCGTTCCAGACGTTGAATGTGTGGTCTGTAGATAGAATGTGTGGTCTGCACTCGCAGAGCTCAGGCGGTTTGTATTTCAGTTTCAGTGTTGACTTTGGTGGAGAGGTGACTGCCAGGGGAGCGGAAATGGTCAACATTTTCTAATGTTGCACCATTAAGCTGTATTTCTGACATTGGAGAGGGATTGGCCTTCTGCATGTGCACAGACTACATTATCATTGGCATATTGGAGTTCTATAACATATGTTGTTGCGATCTTGGTTTTGGCTTTTAGTCTGCTGAGATTGTTTTTATGATGTTCAGCATCCTATGATGCTTTTGTGAGGCCGCCCTGAGGCCTCCCCCCCTCGGGGGGTGAAAAGAGTGGGGTAGAAATATAGGAAATAAATAAATAAATGGCTGGTGACTGCTGGAAGAGCACTTTGGTCTTCTCAATGTTCAATGAGAGGCCGAGCTTCTCATAACTTTCTGCAAAGGTGTTTAGAATGGCTTGTAGATCTTCTGAATGTGCACAGACTACGTTATCATTGGCATATTGGGGTTCTATCACATATGTTGTTGTGATCTTGGTTTTGGCTTTTAGTCTGCTGAGGTTAAAGAGCTTGCCATCTGTATAGACCAGGCATGGGCAAACTTCAGCCCTCCGGGTGTTTTGGACTCCAACTCCCATCATTCCTAACAGCCTACCGGTTAAAGACCTTGCCATTTGTATAGACCAGGCATGGGCAAACTTCAGCCCTCCATGTGTTTTGGACTCCAACTCCCACATTCCTAACAGCCTACCGGCTGTTAGGAATGGTGGGAGTTGGAGTCCAAAACACCCGGAGGGGCTGAAGTTTGCCCATGCCTGCTCAATAGATTGCAAAGGTGTTTAGAGTGGCTTGTAGATCTTCTGAATGTGCACAGACTATGTTATCATTGGCATATTGGGGTTCTATCACATATGTTGTTGTGATCTTGGTTTTGGCTGAGGTTAAAGAGCTTGCCATCTGTATAGACCAGGCATGGGCAAACTTCAGCCCTCCGGGTGTTTTGGACTCCAACTCCCATCATTCCTAACAGCCTACCGGTTAAAGACCTTGCCATTTGTATAGACCAGGCATGGACAAACTTCAGCCCTCCGGGTGTTTTGGACTCCAACTCCCATCATTCCTAACAGCCTACCGGTTAAAGACCTTGCCATTTGTATAGACCAGGCATGGGCAAACTTCAGCCCTCCGGGTGTTTTGGACTCCAACTCCCATCATTCCTAACACCCTACCGGTTAAAGAGCTTGCCATTTGTATAGACCAGGCATGGGCAAACTTCAGCCCTCCATGTGTTTTGGACTCCAACTCCCTCCAACTTCCTACCGGCTGTTAGGAATGGTGGGAGTTGGAGTCCAAAACACCTGGAGGGCTGAAGTTTCCCCATGCCTGCTCAATAGATTGCAAAGATGTTTAGAGTGGCTTGTAGATCTTCTGAATGTGCACAGACTACGTTATCATTGGCATATTGGAGTTCTATCACATATGTTGTTGTGATCTTGGTTTTGGCTGAGGTTAAAGAGCTTGTCATCTGTATAGACTAGGCAAGGGCAAACTTCAGCCCTCCCGGTGTTTTGGACTCCAACTCCCACCATTCCTACAGATTGGGACATATTCCATAGCTTAAAGTGGCACCAACCAGTTGTATTTGTGCAATGCGGACACATCCCAGGTCTAATCAACCTTGCAAGGCCGTAATTGGAACCGACTTCATTTCAAGGCTGGGAGTGTATGATGCTTGGGTCCTTTCCATCCTCACCTTATTTCTGCCGAGGCCACATTGGCGTTGCTTGAGGACGTCCACCGTGTCCGGGACCCGCTCCCAGTAACGTTTTTCTGGACGAGGCTCTCGGTGTCGCTGCACGCAATGGACTGGTCTTCGGCTTCCCAAAGCCCACGAGATTCCTCATCGGAGTAGATGGCTTGAAGGATCAGAGAAGTCCCATTCTCTATCCCGGAGACGGTTACTGCAACAAGAAGAGGGATTTCAAATGGGGTCAAGCATTCCATAGGAATAAGGCGGCCAAGTCGGATGGCCAAGTGCAAGAGGAAAATTCCTCTCCCACATTCCTTTCCCTATCTGGTTTCGGGCATCTGGGTGGAAAATATCTCGCTTCTAGGGTGTGACTAATCCCAAGAACTAGAAGTCCATATCCTATAAAGATACATTAATGGAATCAGTGATGGCCAAATTCCTCCATAGTTATGGGGTGTCTGTTTATGACATCATGCCTATGGAGATTGGAATGATCTAAAACAGGCATGGGCAAACTTGGTCTCTCCAGTACTTGGAAGGTTCTGGTGGGCATTGACCTTGAGTTTTGGAGTTGTGGTTCACCTACATCCAGAGAGCACTATGGGCTCAAACAATGAAAGCTCTAGACCAAACTTGGCACCAATATTCAATATACCCAAATGTGAACACTGGTGGAATTTGGGGAAAAATTAGACCTTGACATTTGGGACTTGTATTTGCTGGGATTTATAGTTCACCTACAATCAAAGAGAATTCTGAACCCTACCAATGATAGAATTGGGCCAAACTTCCCAAACAGAACCCCCATGGCCAACAGTACTTGGAAGGGTTTGGTGGGCATTGACCTTGAGTTTTGGAGTTGTAGTTCACCTACATCCAGACAGCACTGAGGACTCAAACAATGAAGGCTCTAGACCAAACTTGGCACCAATATTCAATATGCCCAAATGTGAACACTGGTGGAATTTGAGGAAAATTAGACCTTGACATTTGGGAGTTGTAGTTTCTGGGATTTATAGTTCACCTACAATCAAAGAGCACTCTGAACCCAGCTCACAATGGATCTGCACCAAAGTTGTCACACTACCTACATGGCCAACTGATTACTGGTGGGGTTGGGGTGGAGCTGTTTTGAATCCTGGGAGTTGTAGTTCACCTACACGCAGAGAGCACTGGGGACTCAAACAATGATGGATCTGGACCAATCTTGGCACAAATGCTCAATATGCCCAAATGTGAACACTGGTGGAGATTGAGGGAAATTAGACCTTGACATTGGGGAGTTGTAGTTGCTGGGATTTGTAGTTCACCTACAATCAAAGAGCAGTCTGAACCCAGCCACAATGGATCTGCACCAAAGTTGGCACTCTACCTACATGGCCAACACTGATTATTGGTGGGGTTGGGGTGGAGCTGTTTTTGAATCCTGGGAGTTGTAGTTCATCAGCATCAAGAGAGCACTGAGGACACAAACAATGATGGATCTGGACCTGTGTGGTCAAAAACTTAACAGGAAGCCCCATAAATTACGAGGTCTGAATGAAAAGCAATGCTTCCACCTTCATAACTCCTCAACAGATGGCAGTACTGGTATGCGGCAGGTACTGGCTTGTTCAGTAGACTCTCCTCTACAGTTCCATTTTGGCAGGAAGCCTTAGCATTGAATGGTAGTGTTGTTAAAGTGCGAAGTATGGAACCTTGTGTAGATGGTTGGTTAATGCGACTTAAGCAACTTGCAGTCATTGAATTCTTGACAGCAGAATGTATCACCCCCAAAGGAGATTCATCAGAGAATGCAAGCTGTTTGTGGTGATTGTATTGATTTGAGTACTGTGTGTCATTGGGTGAGTAAGTTTAAAAACACCTTCTGTTGTCAAGAATTCAATGACTGCACATTGCTTAAGTCTCACTGACCGACCGTCTGCACAGGGTTCCATACTTCGCACTTTAACAACACAACCGCTCAATGCTAAGGCTTCCCGCCAAAATGCAACTGTAGAGGAGAGTCTACTGAACAAGCCAGTACCTGCCGCATAACCAGAGGTGGCCCTAGGTAATTTTCAATGGTAAGCAAACAGTATTTTGGCACCCCCCTCCAAACAATCACTGATATATATTTTCTGTTCGTCATGGGGGTTCTGTGTGCCATATTTGGTTCAGTTCCATCATTGGTGGAGTTCAGAATGCTCTTTGACTGTAGGTGAACTATACATCCCAGTAACTACAACTCACATATGTCAAGATCTATTTTCCCCCAAGAGTGCCTCAAGAGCGCCCCTGGGCAAAACCAACTATACTGCAAATGCTTACTTTGCGTAATGGGTTGAGCCGCCCCTGCGCATACCAGTACTGCCATCTGTTGAGGAGTTACGAAGGTGGAGGCATTACTTTTCATTCAACCCTCGTACATCTATGGAGCAGAACTTTTACATTAACCCCACATGCCATATTTGAGTCTGAGATAGGGATTCATACACTGTTAGTTATGATACATCCGAAGGGAGGCCATTGTTGCATTGAGCCATGTTGGCTCAAGCGGTGCCAAACTTCAGCGTAGACTGCATGTTGAGGAACTTGGAGACATGCATCAAATCCACCTGGTCCACTTACCTGTGTAGATGGCACCAGGCTTGTAGTAAGGGGGAGTCACTTCTAAGAGGTAGGAGCCCTTTGCGACGGTGCTGCGGATGAGTTCGCAAGCCGGGGGCCGCTGGAGGCGAACCGGGGAGACCAAGAAGAACACGACGGTGAGAAGATGCAGCCGAGAACGGGACAAAGTTTCCATGATGCTCTCAGAGTTGTTTCCGCTCTTCTTCTCTTCTCCTTCCACCAAAACCTGCCTGAGCTCAGGTTGCGACGGCAAAAGTATTTATACCTCTGGAAGATGCAAATTCCCCTCCGCACACACCTTCCTCAGTGGGAGGTTTCATCCTGGTGACACATCCACTGTGTGCTTCCTCCTGGAAAAGGCTTTCCACGGATACCTGCGAGGCTCACCTGAGTTTATTCATGCATTTATTCCAGAAATAGAAGACCTTGTGAAGAAAGAGGATGGCATTATTATTAATGGAGCCACCAGTGGCGCAGTGGGTTAAACCCCTGTGCTGGCAGGACTGAAGACCGACAGGTTGCAGGTTCGAATCCGAGGAGAGACGGATGAGCTCCCTCTATCAGCTCCAGCTCCTCATGTGGGGACATGAGAGAAGCCTCCCACAAGGATGATAAAAACATCAAATCATCCGGGCGTTCCCTCGGCAACATCCTTGCAGATGGCCAGTTCTCTCACACCAGAAGCGACTTGCAGTTTCTCAAGTCATAGAATCATAGAATCAAAGAGTTGGAAGAGACCTCATGGGCCATCCAGTCCAACCCCCTGCCAAGAAGCAGGAATATTGCATTCAAATCACCCCTGACAGATGGCCATCCAGCCTCTGCTTTAAAAGCTTCCAAAGAAGGAGCCTCCACCACACTCTGGGGCAGAGAGTTCCACTGCTGAACGGCTCTCACAGTCAGGAAGTTCTTCCTCATGTTCAGATGGAATCTCCTTCTTGTAGTTTGAAGCCATTGTTCTGCGTCCTAGTCTCCAGGGAAGCAGAAAACAAGCTTGCTCCCTCCTCCCTGTGGCTTCCTCTCACATATTTATACATGGCTAGTATATCTCCTCTCAGCCTTCTCTTCTTCAGGCTAAGCATGCCCAGCTCCTTAAGCCGCTCCTCATAGGGCCGTGATCATTTTAGTCGCCCTCCTCTGGACACATTCCAGCTTGTCAATATCTCTCTTTAATTGTGGTGCCCAGAATTGGACACATTTCAGGTGTGGTCTAACCAAAGCGAAATAGAGGGGTAGCATTACTCTCCTAGATCTAGACACTATGCTCCTATTGATGCAGGCCAAAATCCCATTGGCTTTTTTTGCCGCCACATCACATTGTTGGCTCATGTTTAACTTGTTGTCCACGAGGACTCCAAGATCTTTTTCACACGTACTGCTCTCGAGCCAGGCGTCACCCATTCTGTATCTTTGCATTTCATTTTTTCTGCCAAAGTGGAGTAAGTCACTCCTGACACGACCAAAAAATAAATAAATTATTAATTAATCTATATCAATAAAAAAGCATGTTAGTTTGTGGGATTAACAAAACTCAAAAACCACTGGATGAATTGACACCAAATTTGGACACAAGACACCTCTCAGGCCAACAAGTGACCATCACTCATAAAAACACTGAGAAACACGGCAGAAGAGACTTAAAAGGCCATAAAATAAAATAAAAATACATTACATTACAATGTATGCGCATAACCACATAAATACACTTATACACAAATATACACACACACACACAAAACACATATACACAGACTGGGCCACAGCAACGCGTGGCAGGGGATGGCTAGTCTATATAAATAAAAATGTTAGGTTTGTTTGTGGGATTAACATAACTCAAAAACCACTGTACGAATTGGCACCAAATTTGGAAACAATACACCTAACAAACCAATGTATGCCCTTCACTCCAAAAAAATTGATTTTGTCATTTGGAAGTTGTAGTTTCTGGGATTTATAGTTCACCTACAGTCAAAGAGCATTCTGAACTCCACCAATGATGGAACTGAACCAAACGTGGCACACATGACTCCCATGATCAACAGAAAAAACTAGAAGGGTTTGGTGGGCATTGACCTTGAGTTTGGGAGTTGTAGTTCACCTACATCCAGAGAGCACTGTGGACTTAAACAATGATGGATCTGGACCAAACTTGACACAAATATTCTATATGCACAAATATGAACACAGATGGAGTTTGGGGGAAATACACCTTGACATTTGGGAGTTGTAGTTGCTGGGATTTATAGTTCACCTACAATAAAAAAGTATTCTGAACTCCACCAATGATGGAATTGAACCAAATGTGGTACACAGTTCTCCCATGACTAACAGAAAACACTAGAAGGGTTTGGTGGGCATTGACCTTGAGTTTGGGAGTTGTAGTTCACCTACATCCAGAGAGCACTGTGGACTCAAACAATGATGGATCTGGACCAAACTTGGCAGGAATACTCAATATGCCCAAATATAAACACATATGGAGTTTGGGGGAAATAGACCTTGACATTTGGGAGTTGTAGTTACTGGGATTTATAGTTCACCTACTATCACAGAGCATCCTGAACCCCATGAATGAGAGAATTGGGGCAATCTTCCTACACAGAAGCCCAATGACCAACAGAAAATACTTAAGGCCATCGAGTTAAACTCCCTTCACCAGGGCAAGAAAACATAATCAAAGCCCTCCTGACAAAGAGCCATCCAGCCATAGATAAAGATAGATAGATATGATTCACACACACACAGATATAGTATCATAGATTTGAAAGGGACTCTAAAGAAGGACAATGATATGATGCATATTCCAGAGCAGGCAAACCAGACCCTCTCCACATCAACACTGACAAAAAAACAAGAAGAAATATTGTTTACCCACAAGCATAAGGAAATTACATATATTACAAACCAACACTTCCTCTTTACTTTATTTTCCAGATCACCAGACTGGGCCACAACAAGGCGTGGCAGGGCATGGCTAGTGCATAAATAAAATTGTTCTGTTCGTTTGTGGGATTAACATAACTCAAAAACCACTGGACAAATTGAGACCAAATTTGGACACAAGACACCTATCGGGCCAACGAATGACCATCACTCATAAAAACATTGAAAAACACAATGTAAGGGACTTTAAAAGCAAAAAAAAAAAGCGCGTTACAACGCATGTATACACAAACACACATATATACACATACACAAATATATACAGAAACATATGCACACACAAAACATATATACACAGAAAGGGGGAAGAAAGGAAGGAGAGAAGGAGGGAGAGAAAGAGGGGAAAAAGGAGGGAAGGAGAGAAGGGAATACAAAAGTGAAAGAAGGCAGGAAAGAGGGAACGAAGGAGAGAAGGAAGAAAGAGAGAAAGAGGAAGGGAAGGAAAGAAGGAAAGAAAGAAAGGTAGAGAAGGAAGGAAGGAGAGAAGGAAATAAAAAAAAGTGAAAGAAGAAAGAGAGAGGGAAAGAAGGAGAGAAGGGACGAGGAAGGAGAGGAGGAAGGAAAGAAAGAAAGGTAGAAAAGGAAGGAAGGAGAGAAGGAAATAAAAAAGTGAAAGAAGGAAGGAAAGAGAGAGGGAAGGAAGGAGAGAAGGAAGAAGGAGAGAAGGAAGCAAGGAAGGAAAGAAAGAAAGGTAGAAAAGGGAGGATGGAGAGAAGGAAATAAAAAGTGAAAGAAGGAAGGAAAGAGAGAGGGAAGGAAGGAAGGAGAGAAAGAAGGAGAGAAGGAAGAAAGAGGAAAAAAGAGGAAGGAAGGAAGGAGGAACCAAAGAGCAAAGGAAGAGAGGAAAGAAAAGGTAGAGAAGGAAGAAAGAAGAAGGGAAAGAAAAAGAGGGAAGAAAGGAGAGAAAGAAAGAAGGAGAGAAAGCGGGAGGGTTGGCCATAGCAATGCATGGCGGGCACAGCTATTATGCATATATACACACTCAAAAAACATATACACAGACTGGGCCACAACAATGCATGGCAGGGGATGGCTAGTCTATATAAATAAATGCTCTGTTCGTTTTGAGTGACATCATAACTAAAAAACCGCTGGGCTAATTGCCTCCAAGTTTGGCCACAAGACACCTATTAACCCAAGAAGTGACCATCACTAAAAAAAATTGATTTTGTCATTTGGGAGTTGTAGTTGCTGCAATTTCTAGTTCACCTACAATCAAAGAGCATTCTGAACTCCACCAACGATGAAATTGAACCAAACTTGGCACACAGAACTCCCATGACCAACAGAAAATACTGGAAGGGTTTAATGGTCATTGACTTTGAGTTTTGGAGTTGTAGTTCACCTACATCCAGCGAACAGTGCGGACTCAAACAATGATTGATCTAGACCAAACTTGGCATGAATACTCCATATGCCCAAATATGGACACTGGTGGAGTTTGGGGAAAATAGGCCTTGACATTTGGGAGTTGTAGTTGCTGGGATTTATAGTTCACCTACAATCAAAGAGCGCTCTCAACTCCATCAACAATGGAATTGAACCAAACTTGGCACACAGGACCCCCATGAGCAACAGAAAACACTAGAAAAGTTTGGTGGGCATTGATCTTGAGTTTGGGAGTTGTAGTTCACCTACATCCAGAGAGCACTGTGGACTGAAACAATTATAGATCTGGATTTGGCATGGATACTCAATATGCCCAAATGTGAACACTGGTGGAGTTTGGGATAAAATAGATCTTGACATTTGGGAGTTGTAGTTGCTGGGATTTATAGTTCACCTAAAATCAAAGAGCATTCTGAACCCCACCAATGATAGAATTGGGCCAAACTTCACACATGGAACCCTCATGACTAACAGAAAATACTGTGTTTTCTGATGGTCTTTGGTGACCCCTGTGACACCCCCTTGTGACCCCCTCTGAGGTCCCAAACCCCAGGTTGAGAAACACTGAAATAAGGTGACCAAGGTTGTTTCAGTTCAGTTCTAGATAGCGAAGATATGTCACTATAGTGCCACTCATTGAACAGGACTACAAATCCCATCATTCCAGAATGCTGTATTGGGTGTTGTAGTCCCCCAGGCTCTTAGCACACTGGGAAAAAAGAGTTTCAGGTAAACACTCAACGTAATTACAAACCATCATTGTGCACCAGCTAGGACATTTTCACAGAAATTGCAACTGGCAATCGATCCTCCGATATGAAAAGTTCAAGAGTGGAGGCATTTCCAAGCTATACAATCTTGACATCCCGATTGTAATGAAAGTATTTTTTTTTAATGGAGGAAAT